GGCCGGCGATTTCGACGAAGGAGCGTCCGGAAGGACATGTGACGACTCCGGCCTGGACTCCGCTTCGTCCACGGTGAAAGCCGATCCGGCGATCCACAGCACAAAGTTGATGTATTTCCTCAGCGACCAGCACGGATCAGCTCCAGGCATGACGAAGCGGATATCGTCCTCTTGGAAGGCCAAACAAAGTAGTTTCGCTTTCACAACGAAACACACAGCGCCTTCACGACATGGCGGCGTTGGCAACAACAATACTACAGCGAGAATAAAAGTTACGCCGCCTTTCTTTGCTTGAACATTTGGGCGGCGTTATGCAAATCGTCCCACATCGTGACATAGACATGTTGGGGGCGTGTTAGAACTAGCCGTTTTAGGTAGGCGTGGTTGACTCTTAACTTTTATAAAGAATATCTCTTTGGATTTGAGACTTTAGTCTTTGCAACTTTACAGATCTTCTTTATGCACCAAGAGCTTGTAACACTCCAAAGAGAAAGAAAAAATTTAAATCGCATCATATGAACCCTTTAACGTAATTCCTGTCAGTAAGTCTGTGTAGTGTGACGGGGGTTAATCATCAAGCCTCACAGTACCTATCCCTCTCTCTCTGGCCCCGCTAAAATTGATGAGGGAAAAATTGGAAAGGATTAGAATAATGTGATAGAAAAGCCCCTTAGCCAAGGACTTGTGTATCTATCCGGAGACAGCAGCTGGCGTGAGAAGGGAATTTGTGTCAAGACCCCAACTCATAATAATCTGGAGAAAAGGTGCACTATCTTTATGTGGCACTTGGGACCTGGCCGCAGCCCGCTAGTTTTAGCAAGGGTTCAACTGAGCTCAGTCCATTTTTAGTTCTACGATAATTTTAGGAGGGGTTTTTTTTATCACTAAGAAGCTTTGATTGTTACTGACCTCATTTTTTGATTAAAGGCAGTTTCTGTATTCTAATATAAATTAGAATGTTTTAATATATTTTAATGGCATTAAATTACAGAAAACTATTTAACGCAGCTGCGTGAGTGTTTATAATACAACGTCGGGAGTGACGACAAATTTTACATCTTTCTCTCTTCTGTACAATGTAATCAATATCTCTCTCTCTGTCGAATGGGAATTAAATACTTTATAAAAAGCTCCATCATACTTGTAAAAATCAGTGGTGGACAGTGTTTTTCTTTACTTTTATTTCATTAGGCATTAGTACTAAATGCATGCATAATAGATGCATAATATCACACTCTTTACGCATTTAATTAAAAAAACATATCGTTCCACTTTATTTTGAGCTAAAAAAATCACCACCTCCTCTGAGACTCTCTCCAATTTGTGAAAGAACTGATTCTTTTTAATGAACCTGTTGAAACGGTCTACAAATCACAACAATCCATTTGCAAATTGAACTGATCTGATTGCAGCTGTTCTTGATTTAACAACACCGATACAGTAATTAATTCAAAGTGACTCAAAAAGAGTCAGCGATGCACAACATGATAACAAAGCAGGTGATTACGGACTTACATGTACCATAAGACTAGCTTTGCTGTATCAACAGGATTCGAGAAGGGAGTGATGAGGGAGGACATGCCAAAGCTTTCAGAACCAAAGTTAGGCCCCAAATGGAGATAGTAGATGTGTGAGGTTTAGCCATCTCGTACCACATAGAGATCTGATTACCAGACCATTCCTGCCCACTGACGGCCTGTGAACCTCGCTGTGGAAGGTCGATATAGTGGCAATGCACACTCGGAGTGTAGAAGGCACAGCTGCCATCTAAGCACTCCTGTAAGAAGGACAAGATAACTGGAATTGTGCAAACAACTGGGTCCTTCTCCCTTGAGGAGCACCAGCTCTCAAAGACTTTCCATTTATAAGCATAGAGGTGTGTGCTAGAGGGAGTTCTCATTTCAGCAATCGTTGTTAACACTTGTGGGCTGCAGACAGCTCTTTGGAAGTTGATTGTGAGCTCCAGCACTGAAGGTGGTTGATGAGCATATCTCTTTATATGGCATTTTTGTAAGTCTGATCACATAGAAAAATAATAGCACAGGCCAGATTTGATATATCATTCATGTCTAAAGTACAAACTGTGATTTCAGTTACACAAAAAAATGTAATACTTTGGGTTGGGAATCTTATTCTTATAAAACACAACTAAAACATTCTGCGTGTGTTTAATCTATTATACATGAGCAACGTTATTGATGTATTGTTCTCTCTCTGTTTTTTGCAGGTCTGCTCATCGGTTCAGGATGTGCTCTGTATCCTCTAGGTTGGGACAGTGAGGAGGTCCGGCAGACATGCAACAACAGCTCAGATCAGTTTGAACTTGGTATGTCCTCATAAACATTAATTACACCATGACAGCATTAAACAATAAATGCATTATGTCCAACAGTTGATCTTGCTTAAATAGATCCCTATAAAAATAATTAAATAAATTAATAAAATTAATAAATAGAAATAAAAAGTACACTTTAACATACTTTTACAAAGTGAACACTTTGAAAGAATATACTTAAGTGCAAACTGAATGTAATGTTTTCAGACAATGAAAATGTTTTTTTTATTTTTTATTATTAGTTTAAATGATCTTGTATGTAATTCAGTAGGACGTAACATCTTTTTATGTAATTTCATAATTATTTGTCTTTGGTTAAATGTTAAATGTTAAAATGTAATGCAGAATGTATACTGACAATCATTTATGATAAACTAAAATGTACTGTAATGCATTTTACTTTTATCCCATGTTTTTAATGTTATTTGTAATTACACATTTGTAATGATGAAGTAGCAATTTAGTACATTTTAAATATATTAACTTTAAATGTAATATAAAATAATGCACCACAGTTAAATAACAAAACAGTTACATAAAACATAATGACTTAAAATGAGAACACTGACTGTTTCTTAACATAATTTAAGTAGAGATGCACCGATCGATCGGCCAGGGATCGGAATCGACAGATTTTCCTCATGATCGGCCCGGATCGGTGATCGGTCGGTCAGTCTCACTTCTTTGCGATTTCGAGCTGATCTGTTTTGTTATCAGCGGCACAGGTAATAACATCAGCCACGCTCTTCTCTCCGACGACCCCTTCTCTCTCACACACGTCTCATTCGCTCCGGTTAAATAGTGCTTGTATTGCGCATTATAGTCATTCCCACAGGTTTCGCGCTTATACCAAAAGTGTGTGCACCACCACTGATCTATTTTAGTGGAGCCCACAAGCCACGCTCTGTCTCAAACAGCTTGTGAGCCACAAATACCAAAATAAGTGGCTAACTACGCTAAAACATTCAAATACATACAAAATTGTCAAAATGCCCATCTTGGTGAGTATCCAGTTAAACACAGTCAGTTTTGGAACGTTAAATAGCTGAGAACGCATGTTGTGTAACAGTATATTGGGTCCGTGGATAAACTCTTAAAGGGACCGCAGTCCAATATTCCTGCTGCTGTCTGTTATGTTAATCAAAGAACAAAAGACAAAGAAAATAATTTTCTGCTCTTGACTGAATACATTTTATAATTTTAATGGTAAGCATTATTCTGTATTTAATTTTTACAATGAAGACTACAGAAATTAAAGTAATCAAATGTAAAGTAACACTGGATGTGTTATTTTACATTTGATTACTTTAATTTCTGTAGTATTTCTTACCTGAATAAAAACTTACTTAACCTGAAAAACTTGGTTTCATAGCTCTCTTTATTCTATTGCATTTATTTGTGCTGTTGTTTGACTTTTTTTTTTTCTTCTTATTTTATTACTGACTTTTTACTTAGTTTTTTATGAAAATAAAACTTTGCTTTGAAGAAAAGTAGATTTTTGTTTGTATATGCTGTCAATTATAGTTCTTAGAAAGAAAATAAATCGGCAGGGAATCGGTATCGGCAGATCACACTAACGAAAAATGGGAAATTGTAATCGGTCAAGAAAATTGTAATCAGTGCATCTCTAATTTTAAGAACACATACATGGCCTTTTTTATTGTTATATTATCAACATGTAACATTTTCTATTAAATATTTATTTTAAGATTTAAAGGACACTGCAAGTCGCATTCAATACAAATAAGCACACTTTTTTGTTTTAACAAGGGATAGTTCACCCAAAAATGAAAATTCTGCTGCATGCCTCCTGTTTTATTGTACACCAGGTGAAAATAATTTGTCTGACTGGTTAGAACAGTAACCGCACCAATTCACATTTAAACCAGTAAAACTACAGAGTCAAATCCTGAGTGTTAAATTAACACTGCATGTATGGTCCCACTCTAAAAAGAGTGTTAAAGTAACACTGAAGCGGTGTTAAAGTTAATGAGATAATTATGTGATTAATTAAGTGCTGATTGAGCATTAGTGATGAACACCTGCTGTTAACAAGCAGAATTACTGAAGAAAAGAGAAACAAGAATTACAACTGACTTCAGCCACAGACTTAGATAAAATCAACTGAAATAAAAGAAGACATTAAATCTCTCAAGATCTCAGCAGAAGATGATTGAACAACTCTACAAACAGCATCACCAGCTTCATGCATTACTAACCAGTTAGACTATCTAAAACAGAATTTCTTAATTGAGAATTAATGTTTAGATGTTGTTGTTTTTTTCAACTTACCGTTTTTGTGAATAGTGGTTGATTTAGTTGCCTCTTGACCCTTGACTTTTTAAATTAAAGTTTATTTTTGGCTGATAATTGTACAATACATTTGTGTGTATTAAATATATGTGATGGCAAGGAACTTATGGAAAATCATGTTATGTGTCTGAGTCGCTGATTGCAGTTTATCTAAAACTAGTATTTTTATGATTTCTATATTGTTGCAGTTATAGGAGAACAATGTGAGATAAAACTTGATAAATGATTTTTATAAATATGGTTCATAAAGAGGTTTCAATTCTGGCACTCATAGACATGAAGAACCAGCATTTTGACAAAATATTCTGATAATTTTTATGTGATTTTTTGAACGTCACAAAACAAGACAATAAAAAGTCACAACAAAAAAAATTAAAATAAAAGCAAATAGTAAAAATAAAAGAAAATCCTAAGACAGTGCAGCTGCATAATTTATTCATGTCACAATGCATGCTGGGAGCCATGGATGAGTTATGATTGGTGCACCCAGAATGCAATGCAACATGAATCTGTCTGATGATCCTCACCATTGTTAAGATTCATATGCTGATTCTTGATGTCTGCATGTCTAAACCGTACAGATGTTCTAAACTGGTGTGCAAAGTGTTTTTAAAGCGCTTCCTATTATTTCATTAAATTATAGTTGTGTTCATTAACTTACACTATATTACACACTACCACTGGTGACATCAGTGAACCTGGCTACTACATGACAACAATGTCATTATCAAAATAAATGGCCAATATAATCCGAACACATTTTCTCTTGGATTTTCTTGCCATAATAAATGTGTTTCATAAACAGAATTACAGCAACCAGAGGAAAAACTAATGTTAAAAAGGCAAGGGTCCAGAGCCCAACTAAAGCGGTGACCTCAAATTGTAATATTTTCTATAAACATTAACATCTAAATCTCTGTTAATTCTTAAGAATTTTTAAGACGCGTGACAAACAAAAATTCTAACTGGTGAGTAATGTGTGAAGCTGGTGATGTTGTTTGTGGAGATGATTAATCATCTTCTGCTGAGATCTTGAGCGATTTAATGTCTTTTATTTCAGTTGATTTAATCTAAGTCTGTGGCTGAAGTCAGTTGTAATTATTGTTTCTCTTTTCTTCAGTGATTCTGCTTGTTAACAGCAGCTGTTCATCACTAATTCTCAATCAGCACTTAATTAATCTCATAATTATCTCATTAACTTTAACACTGCTTCAGTGTTACTTTAACACTCTTTTAGAGTGGGACCATATATGCTCCTAGCAGTGTTAATTTAACACTCAGGATTTTACTTTGTAAGTATTAGCAATAGTAATATCTTTCTTGCCTTAGCAAATACCACTAACTGTTGCAACATAAAATATGAATCACTATGAAACTAGAAGGATAGAATGCAAATGACTGTTGCTTCAGAAGTCTGATATGATCCTGACAAAGTACTCAGACTGTCTTAAGCCGCGTTTCCACTGCAGGAACTAGGAACTTTGGGCCGGTACTTGGTGTGTTTCCACCACAGGAACCAGGATCTAAATAAAGTTCTGGGTAAAAATTGCACCTCAGAAAGTCCCTGCTCACGAGGTAGTATGTTTTCAAAGGTCCGGAACTTTCGGGGGCGGGACTTGAGCATTGAACATGCTGATTGGTTGAGTTCACGCAGCATTGTATTTCAACCAGCATTTGCATTTTTTTTTATATTACTGTTATTGTTTCATGAAATGTAGTTTTAAAAGTATTTCAGGCGAGAATGTAGTTGTTTAAAACTCAAATCTGCGGTTTATTTATAAAAACAGTGCCTATTTGAAAATGTGCTTGCCGATTTTGGAGACGGGAGCTTCACTCGATCAGCCGGCGCTCAGTGCTTATGTATCCCGACGAGAGCGGCCTCAACTCGGCTAGTTGATTCTTGATGTCTGCATGTCTAAACCGTACAGATGTTCTAAACTGGTGTGCAAAGTGTTTTTAAAGCGCTTCCTATTATTTCATTAAATTATAGTTGTGTTCATTAACTTACACTATATTACACACTACCACTGGTGACATCAGTGAACCTGGCTACTACATGACAACAATGTCATTATCAAAATAAATGGCCAATATAATCCGAACACATTTTCTCTTGGATTTTCTTGCCATAATAAATGTGTTTCATAAACAGAATTACAGCAACCAGAGGAAAAACTAATGTTAAAAAGGCAAGGGTCCAGAGCCCAACTAAAGCGGTGACCTCAAATTGTAATATTTTCTATAAACATTAACATCTAAATCTCTGTTAATTCTTAAGAATTTTTAAGACGCGTGACAAACAAAAATTCTAACTGGTGAGTAATGTGTGAAGCTGGTGATGTTGTTTGTGGAGATGATTAATCATCTTCTGCTGAGATCTTGAGCGATTTAATGTCTTTTATTTCAGTTGATTTAATCTAAGTCTGTGGCTGAAGTCAGTTGTAATTATTGTTTCTCTTTTCTTCAGTGATTCTGCTTGTTAACAGCAGCTGTTCATCACTAATTCTCAATCAGCACTTAATTAATCTCATAATTATCTCATTAACTTTAACACTGCTTCAGTGTTACTTTAACACTCTTTTAGAGTGGGACCATATATGCTCCTAGCAGTGTTAATTTAACACTCAGGATTTTACTTTGTAAGTATTAGCAATAGTAATATCTTTCTTGCCTTAGCA